ACCTCCCTTTCTTCATGTGTTCAATACTTTTTCCCTGTGCCATTCCACATTATTACAAATAACTTCATTTCTGGACATGTATGGTTTGATTTCTTTGTATGAATGGATCACTTGGGTTGTTACCGACATCTGGTGAAAATTACATGTCATTAGCACCTCTAGTAATATATTTACTGAGAAAAATGTTGACGTGTTCAATACTTATTTTACCCGCTGTAAAACGTATAAAATGAACAGTGCATTCGTTCTTGAAAACAGTTACGACTCCTTAAAAAGGTCCTTTAGTCTGTGCTTAAAAGCAAGAATAGAGATCAAAGTGCCAAGATAGAAGATCTTGCAATACAGAAGAGTTTTGTTCATGTTTACTTTATATTAATTGTTTACTTGGAACAAAAAAATGCCTCTTCGCAGCAGTTGTGAAAATGCTTTACCTTTGTAGGATTGTCCGATGCTCTGGCACCTGTTTGCCACATAGTTTATTTTCCTGTTTGCAGTTGAACGGGTACAGCGAGCAGCCGCTCAGTCTGCTGCTGTTCATCGGCACAGCAGACGACCGGGCCATTCGTCCTCATTCCTTCTACCAAGTCCACCGAGTGACGGGGAAGAACGTTACCACCATCTGCCAGGAGAAGGTGATGGGCTCCACCAAAGTCCTGGATGTCCCTCTGCTTCCAGAAAACAACATGTCCGTCAGGTATCTGAAAACCTCATGATCAGCTTTGAGCAGCTCAGTTTTCACTAATACCATAATCAGAAATGACTGCAGACATAAAACCTACTGTAGTATGAGCACATCCTCTTACTTTGTCAACCTCTGACCTAAAATCATGTTTCTGTAACAACTGCATTATAACTTTAAATTAATAAAAGAAATACATTTACATTCCATTTAAAAAAATGTTAAACACAGAATAAAACGATACACAACAAACTAAGTATTTAAGTATTTTTAAGTTATATTTTAGGAGGAACTATTTTGTGAGGCAAATTAATTTTTTGCTCTTATGGACCAGCTGCACCTGGCTGTGAGTGAAAAACTGCTTCCTGTCCCTGATCAAGAAATCTTAAACTCTGGTTATACTTGACAAGAACTAAGACATCAGTTCTCGCTGAAGTCATTATGAGATGGTATTTTTCACATGGACAATTCATACTTTAAGAGAAACTGCTGTGGAGAAATCCTAGTAAGCCCCGCCCACTTCAGTACACATCATACACAAACAGCAACACCGGCTCTTATTGAGAAAAGTCATTTTGCTGCGACTTCTTCAAACAACCAATTAACCTGCTAACTGAACTAATTTCTCTGAGCGTTGCACCGTCTGATCTTTTTAGGTACGTTTGCTTGGATTTCCACTCCTGGGAAGATTGGCAGCTGCTCTGAGTGGTTTTTACTTGTGAAAAGTGATCCCACATCACAAGTGATGGAAGTTGTTCCACTGGTGATGAACAGTTAATAATTTGTGATCTTCTGGCTCGTTAGAATCACAAATTAATATATTTAACCTAAGAATAAAACGATATTTTAATTGGAAGGTTTATTGCATAAAGTCTTAAATATATTTTTTAGACAAGTTATCTGGTCTTTTAAACTGTCAGGTTTTCCTCTCCGTCTTGTTTTTCCTGTTTGTCTGCCTTTTCCTCTCATGTCATGGCTTGCATGCATCTCAGTTCTTGTTTGGGTACTTTCTTGGCCCTGTCCCAATACCTGTACTTCAAATGCACGTTTTCACTGAAGGGTTCGAGTGCGTAGTGTGTCCCAATAATACAGCAATGTCTTTAGCCCAACCCCTTTTGTACCAAAGTGTAGTACCTGCAATTCATCGTGTGTATGTGACATTTTGAAAAAAAAATTTTTAATTGAGAAAATCTTTACAAATGTAAGTTCAAGTGTAAATACAAAGAGAGAACAAGAAACAAAACATTAATTAAAGTATGCCAGGGAAAAGTTTCTACATTAATACAAAAAAATTATCATAAATTAAATCTATTCAGTGAGCTGCAACCATCATGTGTTTACAGCTTTTTTGTTTGTACTCTTCGATATACAGTATGTATTTGATTTCTTTTATCAAAACAGTAAAAAAAAAAGGTGAAGATGATGAAAATTTATATTTGAGAATATGAAATTTGCCAAATATTCTAATTAGATTAATTGCTAGTCTTCTGTTTATCTTAGTATTATTTTCATGAAAACCAAAAATAACATGTTCTTACCTTTTTAAAGACAAAAAAGGGATAAAATTATTACATTCCTTCCAAAATGTCTTTTTGATACAACAATTCCATAAAAAATGACTGTTTCTGGATGCTCTTTGCTAAATTTACAGTTGGGGTTTATTGTTTTATTAAAATTCTTCATGTACTGATTAGTGGGATAAATTCTGTGTAGCAGTTTACAAGAAACATCTTTTATTTAGTTATTTATCAAAAGTTTCTGATGAAATGTCCACACATTTTTCCACTGTGAAGTTCTTCCAGTAGAAAACAGTTGAAGGTACAGAAAGAACAGATTTTAAATTAAAAGGCTGAAATATGGCACTGTACATCTTCCAGTCTAGTGGTGGCAGTAATGCATTTACATTAGTCTGCCAACTGCCAATAAAATCGAAGAAGAGCTTACAGAAGAGGTGGTGTATAAACCTCCTTCGATTCATGCGCTTTCTTCTCATTTTTAGCAGTATAGATGTCAAAACATCGACTGGTCACCCCATTTTGGATGTCACAGTTACAATGCAGAGGTGGAACTCGATGACATAACCTGTACTGTCCTAATTCTCCAATTTCTGCACGCTTGTAACCTGCACACTCAAACCCTTGTGTGTACTTCAGCTGAGTGTACACTTCATAGAGGGGCAGGGTGTAGTGCAAGTATTGGGACCGGGCCCTTCTCTTTTCATCTTTCCAGGTCAATGAACTGTTCATAGATACAAACTGGTGGAAAACAACACATTCTTTTGCATTTCTTTCATTACAGCATTAATTGTGCTGGCATACTGAAGCTACGTAATGCTGACATCGAGCTGAAGAAAGGAGAGATCGATGTGGGGCGGAAAAACACGAGAGTACGAGTTGTGTTCAGAGTGGCTGTTCCTCAGCAGGATGGTCAGATGCTGTGGCTGCAGACTGCATCTGTTCCAATAGAGTGCTGTGAGTAAATGATGCTTTTTTGCAAGATGTTTTATAATTTGTTTGCTGCAATCATGAAACTAGAATTACTGTTTTCAAAATTACTGTTTTAAAATTACTGTTTTTTTCAGCCCAGAGATCAGGCCAGGAGCTGCCACATGTGGAGAGCTTTTATCCAAGCAGCTGCTCTGTGGAGGGTGACGAGGAGCTGGTTATCTCTGGGTCCAACATGTCTGCTCAGTCTAGAGTTGTTTTTATCCAGAAAGGGCTGGGTATGGTTTGTTTATTTTCAAAAACATAAAAACAGCACAAAAAGTAGAAAAACTTGTGTTTGGTCCTTTATTTCTGTGGTGTAACAATACTTATTGGCTATAAATCTAATGGTGCCACGCTGGTAAGGAAAAAGAATCTGCGTGTTGAGCAGCAGAGTTGAATAAGTAGGTTTCAACCATTAAAAAAATACCTAATTTTCCTTTTCAAACTGCTTTTTATGAGCTATTCACTCTTGTTTGATGTTGTATTAGATGAGAAACAGACATATTCACACTTTAAAAGTTCTTTCAATGAACAAACAGGGGCCTCAGTAGCATGTGGAAGAACCATATACAGCGCAACACCCATTTCACTGTTTGTCTCTGAAATTTGGCCTTCTATTTAAAGATGACTCCCTCCAGCTCAGTTTTGTAGAACACTGGATTGAAGTCTCCCTGTTCCACAGTCCATGTCCAGATCAGACAGCTTGTTGGTTTCAATTGATCGCTGTAGCAAGGTTCATGTTCAGTCAAATGCCTGTGAGCAGCACGTGGAGTAACAGAATCTCAAAACAAGAGTCAATGGCAGAATAAGCTGTTTGACAGAAAAGATTCAACAAGTTTTCCACAACCATAACCCCCACACTCATCTCTACTGCCCAACCCTCCTAACAAATCTTGGACTGGTTCTGCTTCTGCTGGAGGTTTCTTCCTGCTGCTCAGGATTGTGAAGCTGTGATGTTAGATAATCAATAGAACACATGTACTGACTGGCATTTTATAATGTATGCTAATGCTCAACAGTGCCCTGAAATGACTTGAGTTGTGAGTTGGTGTTGTATAAATAAACTAAACTAGGTTGAAAGAAATAATGGACCAAATACAGATTTTCTTTACCTTTTGTTTTATTTAAACTTTTAGATTTTTGAACTGACTTCAGAGGTTTATTACAGAGATAGTAACGAGTGTTTTGTTCCCTCAGACGGAAGATCGCTGTGGGAAATGGATGCCAGAGTTCTGCCAGAAAAAAGCAATGATGTAAGACTAAAAAAAGAAATTCTTTATTAGCAGTAATAGTTCTTGCTAAAACTTGGATAAAATACAAAATAGAGAGTAGGACATTGTGGCCTAAATAAGCTGCACATGCATAGTACATAGTAGTACTGCACTGGAAAACGAAAGTATCAGGATGATCTGATTGACGAAACTGATCTGGTTATTACCAGGCTGTAAAATGACAAATCAAAATTCAAGTGAACAAAAAAACACTCAAAAGTTTTTCAACAAGTTACTTATGAAACAAATTGTTAAAGCTGTATATCTGGTTCCAGCCTTAAGTGGACCATAAACTTCTCTGGATTTTATGGTCCACTCTTTCCACAGACACCTCTTCCAGATCTTCTGGGAGGTCTCGAAGGTGTTCAGACCAGCCGCAAGACATAGTCTCTCCAGCAGTGGCGCCGGAATGGGGGGCCTGGGGGCCATTGGCCCCCCCCACTTTACGGCCCTGCCCATCAGTTGGTCTCACGGACATTTACAGACTGCACCCAACGCTGACAAGTTATGACGGATGTCTCTCTCTGTCTAGATACAGACAGAGGCACAGACAAAACCGACGGCGTTAAGATCAGGACTAAATCTGTTTATAAGTCACCAGATCCACATGGCTCGGTTTTGTTGCGCAGTGCTCAGCTGACGCGCGCACGCTCGTAAGCTGGAGGCTGGAGTTTATCTACTTGACGTTTATGTTGGTGAAGTATTCTCCAAAGGCAGTACAGTTCATAACTTGTACAATGATGTGAAAATGAGAACATGCACTTGATAATAAGTTAATAAAGTATTTAAATGGGGAGTAAGTGCACACAACCTGAACAGTCGAAGAGTTTACGCAAATTCTTCAGCTCTGGGTTGGCCTGTGATCATGAGCCTGCCTGACACGTGCAAAAAACGTTTTGGCTCTGATCTGATCCCATCCGGGTCGGCCAAATCAGCTTAAAAATAAAATAAGAATTTAGTATTTTGTGCCACATCTCTGGCCCAAACCTGTGCGCAACCATCCGATCTCCAGATGCACGCTGACAGGTTGTTGAGAGAAAAAAAATGAGCCCATGGTTCTTTACATGTCCAGTCCAAATGCGCACCTATATTTGTCCCAGAGCAGATAACTTTTGCTGACCGAGTTGAAAAAAAATTGCGCAGAGTTTTTCATTAATGTTGCTGTCATAGGAGCTGGAGTTTGCTGCTGCACTGCGATGACAGGTCGCTTTGGAGAAAATGTTGCCAGACGAGGAAATGCGTTATTTTTTTCATTTTCCCCCTCAAAATAAAGTTGGTTAACTACATTACTTAAATTGTTTGCTTTACTCACCATCTCTTGCGTAAAAAGATTGCGTAACAGCTCAAGTTTCTGAACCACTGTTCCAAACTCCAGTGTGGATATTATTTACATGTGTTTAGTGTTCATTGCTAATTAAACTTAGTAGACCAAATCTGTTTTTATGAGAAAATACAACAAATGATTAACAAAAGCAGGCTAACGTCCCTCCTTTTCCTCAGAAAATGTGCCGCAAATTCTAACACTTGTGTCGATATTGTTTCAGGAAATTAATGTCCGCTCCATTCATATTTACGCTCACAAGCGGCTGCTGATGAACTGAAAAAAAAAACTAAACAAAAAAAAAAACTAAACATCTTATCGATGACTGCAGTTTGTTTCATTTAATCCTTTCATTTTCAAAAGAAAGACTTTACAGCAGTGTTTCCCAAAGTTGGGGTCGGGACCCAAAGTGGGGTCCCAAAAAATCAAGGTGGGGTCCTGAAAAGATTTTCTGAATTAATTACGTTTTTGCTTTAGTTGTTACAAAGGACTGAGGTTAGTGTATTTAAAATGGATAAATGTAGTATAAAAATATTGTTACTATGCCCATGTTTTGTTGACCTGATACAAATGTTTATCATCCAAAAATAGCTGGGGGCACAGGTCTCTGCTACTGTTATTTTGTGGGTCAAAAGCTGAAAAGTTTGGGAACCACTGCACTTTGGTTCCCAAAGTTGGGCTTGGGACCCAATTATGGGTCATGAAGCACCTTGGATAATCTCCAGAAATCAATTTAAAGGGTAATAAAATAATTGCTGATGTAATATTTTCCCTATAACTAGTACAAAAATACAAAATAAGTATAAATAAGTATTTATATTTGTGTACAGGCTGTTTAGATTTTCAAAAAGCCTGTGTTTTTAGGGTTATTAACAAAGTTCGTGTACTCAGACCAGTAATAACTGGGGTCACAAGTTTATGCAATGAATATTTTGTGGGTCAGAAGATAAAGAGTTTGGGAACCACTGCTTTACAGTACGCAATGAGATTACTATGTAGCAAAACTCAACGTGTGCGCCTGACATTCAGAGTGCGTATGAACAGAGAGTGCATGCATGGTGACCCCCACCCCCACCCTCGGTCCCCCCACCTGAAAAATGAATCCGGCGCTGCTGCTCTCCAGTGTGTGCAGGGTCTTCCTCAGGGTCTCCTCCCAGTTAGACATGCCCAGAAAGGCAGGTGACCAGAGGTCATCCTTAACAGATGCACCACCTCAACTGGAGTCTCTCCTGGAGAACTGAATTTCTCACCCAGAGACTCCACCTACCCTGCAAAGAACGTTCATTTCAGTCGCTTGCATCCACAATCTTGTTGTTTCAGTCTCTAACACATAGCTGAGGGTAGGATTGTAGACTGACCGGTATATGAAGAGCTTCATTTTTTTGCTCAGCTCCCTCTAAGGACAGAGTCCAGAAGACTACACCGATCCGTCTGTTGAACTCCCGCTCCATTCTTCCCTCACTCGTATTTAGATTTTGAATTTAAATATCACCGAGTGCTTTTGTTCACTTGAGCTCCGATTTGAATCTGATAAAGACCAGATCAGTTTCATACATCTTCTCCCATGATTATACTCACAATTTGATTTTTGTAAACTTGTTTACATATTTTTCTTTCTCACAAATACTTAATTTGATATGACAAAAAATTTTTTAAAAAGCTTCTATGATTCACTTCTGACAAAAATCATCCCTTTTTCTTTAAAAATGTGACTAATAAGTATCCCATCAAAATCATGTCTTTTTAAATGTGGTCACATTCTAAATGAGTTTGATGTCGTCTTTTTTAAGACTCCTGTTTTACAGAACTGTTTTTGTTTCAGTCCAAGATTGTGGTGGTGGTCCCCAGTTACAACAAGAAAACGTCATCCCCTGTCCATGTCCAGTTCTTTGTCTCAAATGGAAAGAAAAGAAGAAGCCTAATGCAGAACTTCACCTTCGTACCTGGAGTCAGACAGCACGCTGCTGGCCCAGGGTTCAAACAGGAGCTCTGGGAGGCAGACCACATTCTGTATCAGCTGCCCTCCCAGGATGGGGCTTCCTTTGATTCATGCGCTCATCTTCACTATCCTGCATCCTCCTCTCTTCCACTCCAAGCATCAGTTATGTTTCCCCACACAGCTTCAGCCCCAAACCTGACTCCACTTCAGAAGGAGGGGCTGATCCATGCTCAGGCCTCTGCCTCCCCTGTCCAAATCCTCAATGCACCTTGCTCTATGTCCTTTGGTGGACAGCTCGGCAAACCGTCCTCAAGTTCCAGTAATACTTTCAAACCTCCTGCTGACTCCCAGAAGGAATTCTTGGATTTGATCCCAGGAGAACTGCTGAATATCAAACGGGAGCCAGAGGCACAGCCTAACCTGGAATCACTGGGTCTTCAAGAGATTACGCTGGATGACTGTAAGAAGCTTCATTTCTACAAACTATAAAACTTTATTGTAAAAATGGTTAGACTCACAATGAAGTTAAAGATATTCTCAATCTCTTCTTCTGTGATCTAAAGGAAGAAAGAAAGGTACATTAAGAAGTGGGGATTGTTCATAAGCAGTCATTTAAATGTCTATAAATATATAAACAAAAGGTTTATACACAGACAAATTATGTCCTTAAAGTTATAGATGATGTTTATAGGCAAAACCTGTTTATAAGTTTTTAGACATAAAGAGTGCAAATACTTTAATAATCCCTGAGAGGAAAATCAAAGTTGTCACAGCCAATCCAGGAATACACAGAACAAAACAAAGTAGAACGTAAAACAGTAAAAACATTAAAACATATCCTGATCAAAAATAACACCAAGATTCTTTACATTAGAACTGGAGGCCAGATTAATGCCATCCAGAGGAGGTGAAAGGCTACAAAGTTGATCCCTAAGATGTTCAGATCCAAGAACCATAACCTCTTGTTATCTGAGTTTAGAAGCAGAAAGTTGAGTCATCCATGTTTTAATGTCTGTAAGACATGCTTGTAGTTTAAGTAACTAGTTGGATTCATCAGGATTCATGGATAAATATTACTTGAGTATCATCAGCAAAACAATGGAAATTTATCCCATGCCATTTAAAAATTTTTATCTAAAGGAAGCATATATAAAGTAAAGAGGATTGGTCCAAGCACTGAATCCTGAGGAACTCCATGACTAATTCTGGTGTAAGAAGAAGATTATTAACAAACTGAAATCTATCAGTTAAATAAGACTCAAACCATTTTAGAGCTGTTCCTGTAATCCCACGTAATAAAATATTGTGATCAATTGTATCAAATGCAGCACTGATATCTAACAGGACAAGAATGGACATAAGTCCACTGTCTGACAAGGACAGGTATGGACACAAGTCCTCTATCTAAAGCCAGGAGATCTTCTACAGTGGGGATCAAACTTGTGTTATTCTTCCACCATTTTTCAACGTAAATATGTCATCATTCCCAGCAAAAAGACAAATAAGACAAGATTGATTTTGCTTGTAGTATTTCCCCACTGAGGGACAATAAAGACTATTCTGTTCTATAATAGCTTGAAAACAATTGCATCCCCCTTTTGCAAGTATATACATGATGAACGATACTTTATTGATCCCATGAAGGGAAGTTATAGGTATGTAAATCTGGTTTTACATTTCTAGATAAATTGTGTTTTTATTTTAAAAAAGAAAATCGTAATGAACATTGTTGGGATTTGAACCCATTATACCAAGCAAACTCTTATGAAGTCACATTTACATCTTAAATTTAATCACATACTTATGTGTCTGTGTACTCCGTTACAAATTTACACTTGAGTATAAATATTTAAATGTACTTTTGAAGTACATCACTTTAGAAAGTAAGTTCCAGGTGAGCTGCTTCTCTGATTTTTTTAATTAAATTCCAGAGGTCTGTAAGTACTTGAAAAAAAAAAACTAAGTAAAAGTAAAATTACATGAACAGAAAAGGACTTTGGTAAAAAATAAATTCCACTGATGAGAAAACTATTCAAGTAAAAGTAATAAAACTTCGCAAAAATTGGAAAAGTAAAAGTAGTTTAACACACTCTCTAAGAAATAAACTGTTGAATTTACTGAACCAAACTGGTTCCACCAAAAGTCAGATTTCTAAATCCAGGATATCAACTGAAAGCTGAGCTTGAACTAGCCTTCAACTTGTCAACAGCTGTAATCTGTTGCTCTAATACCAAGCTGCGCTTTGGGACAGCTCATTCAAGCCAGCTGTAAATCATTTAGGATTAATGCACGTTCACGGTTTGTTTACTAGCTGAAGCACCGAAGGTAGAGCGGGGAGGGTGAGTTTCGTGCACCAGTGTGGGTGCGTGTGTGTGTGTGTGTGTGTGTGTGTGTGTGTGTGTGTGTGTGTGTGTGTGTGTGTGTGTGTGTGTGTGTG